GGGTCCCGCGTTGGTTGGTCGGGGGGGGGGGGAGGGGGGGGGGGGGGGGGGGGGGGGAAGAGGTCTGGGGGTCCCCAGTCTCCACCCCAAGACCCACATGGTACCATGCCATCAGGTCCCTCCAGCCCTGCAGGTCTCAGCCACCCCAGAGGAGATGTCCCCCAGGTGACAGCAAGCATCTCCCCAATTCATCTGCACCCAGAGGGAGAGGGAACCTGTGGTGATGCCACCTGGCTACCATGGGAGAAGAGGTGGCATCCAGACCACGGTGGGGTGTCTTTGTGCCCCAGATAGGTCTCCTTGCCAAGTGGCTTCTGCTCCCAAAGCACCCCTGGGTGCTCAGGTCCCAGGGCACCGTCAGGGTGCCCGTGCCAGGGCCCAGCTTACCTGGCCGTGGCTTGGCTGTAGAAGCAGGACCTGGCACCGTGCCCCCGGGCGCCGGTGGGGCCCCACGCCGCCAGCAGGCAGTGGATGTAGACCTGCCGAGACACCAACCCCGGGCAGGACATGCCACCAGCACCTCCTTCTTCGGAGACCCCGATCTCCTCCCACCCACCCCCATGGGACTGAGACCACCCCAGCAGGGAGCAGGATGCCCCAGGAGGGATGGTGCTTTGGGAACCATGGGTCATCCCCAGTAGGTTCTCCGTCCCACCACCAAGGACATTACCCCAACCTCACCTCCTCTTCATCAGGCTCATCCTCCAGCACGGGGACCGGGATGGTGAGCTGGAAGGCAGACACCCCCCTCCGGTGCCAGACAGCCACGCTCCCCAGCTTCTGTCCGTGCAGGCACCTGAGGCAGGAGAGCAACACAGGGACATTCCCAGGCTGTCTCTAGGCCCTGGACATACCTCCCCATCAGGACATCTTGCAGGACCTCGGGGTGCCTGGAGCAGCGGTCTCCACCTCCAGCCCCATGGATGCTCACCCATGGCTGTTCACCACCATGAAGACTCTCCTAGAGTGTCCTGGCTGCTCTGAGCTGGTCCCATAGCACTGATCTAAGTAGATCTTCAAGGTGATGCCAGGACTGAAGTCAACCCTGGCCTCCAGGTGGATAGCAGAGCTGGGGCTGAGCACCAGTGGCTTCTTCATGGCACTGGGGTTCTCTGAAGGAGAAGGGAGGGTGGGCTCAATGTGGTGGGACAGGCTCAGGGATGTCAGAGACAGGGACATCAGACACATCCCAGACCACCACCCATAGGTGTCTTTGCCTGCACCCCTGTAAGGCAGGTGTCTACCTGCAGCTCCCCAGTTTCAGAGCCCATCCCCTGTCCCTGGAAGCCAAGAGCTGCCCTGGCTTTGTCACCCTGGTCTGGCTTCCCTGCCTGCTCTCCAGAGCTACAGCACCTTCCTGGTCCCCCCCACGGAGCCAAGAGGGACCATGTCACCCATCAGACTGACAAGGGGCAGCTGACCCCCAAAAAGCTGATCATGGAGTCAAGCACAGCATGTGAAACATCTCAAAGCACCACCAAAGCCATACACCCACAAGACTGGGATGGATGGTCCTGCAGGGATGGCCACCTTCTCTTGGTGGGCTCTAGTGCTAAGGCCTCTCAGGAGAAAGTGCTGGGTGCTGATGGTCAAGTCCTGGTGTCTTGGCTGGACCCCTCCTGTGGTCTCATCCCCCAGAGCCAGCACCCAGCACAAGACCCAGAGCACTCACCATCCAGGAGCCTCAAAGTGAAGTTCACGATGGGCTCCTCAGGGCAGGGGTGAGCATGAGCCCCACCAGGCACAGTCGCAGCAGCAAGCACTGGGGCTGCAGCCCTTGTCCCCATGCCTGAGGACACCACTGAAGCCACCACTGTGTGACTGGAGGACACTGAAGCTGCTGGAGCCATGGTGGTCCCTGCAGCAAGGGGAGAGTTTAGTCAGTGGGGCTGAGCATGCAGCAGCTGGAGCAGCATGTCCCAGGCACAGTGAGGACATCCAGGTCCTCAGATGTCCCCAGGACTTGTGGAGGGCAGGCAGTGCCACACAAGGAGGAGAGAGCACCCAGAAGCTCAGCTGGGTTTGAGCACATCAGGGCCCTGCCCCAGCCCCAGCTCCCCCAGCCAGGACCTCCCCTGGTCTTGGTGGCCAGGCTCTGGCATGGGACCACTGTGGTGGTGGGTGCTGGAGGAGAGGGTGCTCCACAACTCTCCCAAAATACAAGGTTAAGCATCACCAACCGCCCCAGCACCAGGCACACCTGGGAACATCCCCCAGCACCAGGACCCCAGCTAGGGCTGGGGAGGGACCAGGAGCTGCTCATGAGATGGGAGACCATTGCCAGCAGCCACGTACCCCACCAGCAGCTCTACTCCCCTCACCCAAACCAGGTCCTTATAGACCTGCTGGGACCTGGGGGCACAGGGAGCTCCTGGCAAGCCCCCTTGCTCCAATCCCACATCCCCAGAGCACAGGGCCATTTTAGGAAGGCTCCTCTCCACCAAGAGGACCTGCACCACCAAGCCCAGGAGGGCACCAGGAACCAGCACCAGGAACAACCAATGGGCACCCACCACCCTCCTGCACCCAGACATGGATGCCACCACCCACCTCCCCCAGTAAAACCAGTGAGGAGACAAGGGGAGCAGCCAGGGGGTCCCAGCCCCACTCACCTGCCACCCCCAACACAGCCCCACACACCAGCACCCACCAGCACAACCCCATCCTCAGGGAGCAACAGCTCCAGCCCCAGCACCTGGGGACCTTTAAAGACCAGGGCTGGGTGCCAACGGGCCCCAGCTGGTGCTGCCGGGTTTTGGGGATTTGCTTGATTTTCTCCACAATCAATCAGCAGTCCCACCTGTGGGGCCTGTCCTACACGCTGTCCCTGTCCCATTGCTCAGTCCCTCTACCATCACATAGTCCCAGTCCCACCACTCAGTCTGGTCCTGCACGCAGTCCTGGTCCTGAACAAGGTCCAGGTCCTGCTGCATGGTACCAGACCCACCACTTAGTCCTGATCCCATGCATGGTGCTGGTCCCACCATGTAGTTTTGGTCCTGCATGCAGTCCTGGTTCAACCACTTTGCCCTGGTTCCAGTTGCACCACAGTGGTCTGATCTCACCACTCAGTCTTGGTCCCATGGATGCTGCTGGTCCCACCTCATGGTATTGGTCCCACTACATGGTTCCTGGTCCCATCGTGGTCCCTGTCTCAGTCCTACACATGGTCCTAGTCCCACCACACAGTTCTGACCCCACCACTCAATGGTCCCACGTATGATCCTGGTCCCACCACACAGTCCTGTTCCCCAGTGCACCATCCTTGTCCCATTATGGTCCCGCTTGCAGCCCCAGTCCCACCACAGGATCCTGGACCCATGGTCCCAGCTTGGTCCCATTTATTGAGAACAGAGGCCCGTAGGAGGAGGCTGCTGGGTGCTGGGACAGGGAGACTTCAGCGGGAGGACTTTCCTTCCACCCCTTGGCCCCAGGCAAGTGCAGAGCTGCTGCTCCCCACCCTGGGGCTCGCTGCCAGCTGCTCTCCAGGACAGGCAGCCCCAGGGGCACAGGCAGCCCAGTCAGGGACAGCAGTGTGGCCACGGCCAGGACAGAAACACGGTGAAGCGCATGTGTCTGTGGCTCCTGCCTGTCTCGGATGGCCCCAAAACACCATCACAGCCCCCTCTGCGTGGGTTGACCTGGTGGCCCGGGAGCAGAGGGACACGGAGCACGTCCCTACGGGGACATCATCCTGGGTGGGCTGTGCAGCTGACCTCCTGCCTCGGAAGGGGCTTTTCCATCCCCTCGTCTGCAGAGGGAACTGGTGGCCGGGGTGGGATTTAGCCTGTAGCATGTCATGGGAGACACCTGCGGACCTCAGGGAGGTGCCCCAAGCTCCGTGTCCCCAGCGCCCGTCCCAGTGTCTGTGGGCAGCATCACACATGGTTGAGTTGCCGGCCCCAGTGGTAGCTCTGGACTGGCCATCAGGGCTCACGCCCACCCTGGTACTGCTGGTTCTGGTGCTTCGGCTGGAGAAGCCCTGTGCGAGTGCTGGGGCCACCCTTGAAAATGGGGTGCACCCATCAGCAGTGGAGCTGGGACCCGGTGGCATGAGTGAGTTGTGTCACCCGTGATGGCTGTCCCATGGGTCCAGTGTCCCTGTGAAACCAGCAGACCTTCCTGGTGGCACCTGCACACTGTGGGAGTCCCACGCCAGCACCCAGGAGCGCAGGCGGCTCTGCAGGGACAGTGGGGGCAGATCCAGGCACCCCGCTCACACCGGCGCTCTCATTCCTCAGCGCTGCCCGGGGGACATGGGGCTCCCCCCCCAACCCCGGAGGGATGGGGAGAGCAGAGCCAGGGCCCCGAGGGGCTACTGGGCCATCCACCTGCACAGAGCAGGACCTCGCCCCCCGGGAGGAGTGGGGACCAGCAGAGCATCCTGCTGCGGCCGCGCAGCCCCATGCCAGGGTCAGTGCGGGGAGGTCCCCACCCCCCAGAGAAGAAGGAGGTGGATGGAGACCAGCCAGACCATCCTTATATCAAAAACTGCCAAATATACAATTATCTTACAAAAGTAGAATTGCTTTTTTATTTCTGGTCTTTACAAAGGGAGCAGAACATGGGCTGGGGGGCCAGCGGGGATCCCTTCACTGCTGAGGAGGCTCAGCCACGGGTGCTACCTCTGTGCCCGGCCAGGGCCGCTCTCGGCAGGACGCGGCATTGCCAGTGTCATCCAGCCCAGCCGGGACGCCCGAGGGCTGTCCCTACTATGGCAGGGAGGGATGGACCCCATCCTCGGCATCCCCCCCGTGCCCGGGGGATGGCGTCACCGGGACAGTGGCCACTGGACCTTGCTCCCCACCTCCTCCCCACGCCAGTTCTCACCAGACCCCGTGGGCCTCCCGGGATGTCCCCTGTACGGACCGGGGCCACGGGGCCCTCTAACCGGGACAACGGGGGGCTGGGAGGGGACCTGCTGCACGGATGCCCTTTGCCTGCGAGGACCATGAGCCCATTGATAATAAATGCCGGGGCTTTTGGGGTGTGTTTTCCATTCTCCAAATGGCTCCGGGTCACAGCCTGCCATGGACAGACAGCTGTGGGTGGGCTGAGAACGCGCTGCACTCATCACACCCACGGGCTGCAACCTGCCGGAGTGGTGCAGCAGGCTCCAACTCGCAGCCCCAAAACCAGGGCTCAAGGGAAACGGGGTGATTTGAGCAGCCCCTCGAGCTTCGGGTTCCCCGCCAGCAGCTCTGCCCACCCCAGGCAAGGAGGACCCCCAGCCGCTTGGATGTCCTGCTCCCACTGTGATGAGTCCGCGTCCTTCACAAATACCTCCTCCAGCCTTTCCATGGGGAAGGAAGAAGTGGATCCTGCTGGAAAAACCACCCCCAAGCCCCCAGTCCTTGACCCCTCGGAGGCAGGGGTGGAGGCAGAGGCTCCGCTCTCCTTGCTAGTGGGTGACGGCAGCCCCCCGCCAGGCTCCTGCCCAAGCTGGGCTCTGCAGGAAGGTGGCGGAGGGTCACCCCGACCGCTCCCGCGTGCTGGAGCCTCCAGCCGGTTCTGCTCACGTCCAATCAAAAGACACCATGAGTAAGAAAAAAGAAAGCACCTGGTTCTTCCCCCGGGAGAGCAGGGCACCCACTGTCCCCTACCACTTCAGGAAGTCCCGCACACGGCTCCACAGCTTGGTGATCCAGAGGTTGACCCCCAGGTCGGTCAGGTACTGGATTTCGGGTGTCAGCATCTTGCGGCACAGCTTCTGGTGCTTCTTGTTGATCTTCTTCTTCAAGTTATAGCCCAGGATGGACTTCTCCCCCAATGGCTGCCAGGGTTGCATGGAGGACTCTTGGATGGCACTGGCGTCCACGGGGTGTCCCCCATCGATGCAGATGCTCTTCATCTTCTCGTTCTCCCGCTGCAGCTCGGCCACGTCCTTGGCCATCCGCTCCCTCCCGTAGGCCTCCACCTTACGCCAGAAGGTGGCATTAAAATAACGGTAGAGCTTGGCGTCAATGAGGTTCCAGGAGGTGGCCTTCTCGTAGAGCTCAGGTGTCAGGCGGGAGACGGTGGAGCCCTTCCGAGCATTGAGCTTGAAGTAGAGGACATCCTCCAGCTGCCAGCACAGCAGGTCTTTCAGCAGCACCACAGACTCGTCAAAATACTCAAGCAACATGACGAGGTGGAAACGGCGATCTATCTCCTGGATGTGCTCCTCCACCAGCGGGCTGTTGGCATTCATGTTGTTGTCGTAGCCCAAGTCAAAGAAGAGGAGGTTTTGGAGGTAGTGAGCGTTGAACCCATTGGGGTCGTAGTAGTGCCAGGGGTCCTGGAGGAACTCCGCCAGCTTGTCCTCCCCCGTCAACTTCCAGGTGAGGGGGATGACGCGCCCAAAGTAGTGGAAAGAGGACTCAAAGAGGTAGGCAGGGTCCCGCAGCACCGTCACGAAGGTGGCGTCCGCCGGCAGGAGCTTGCGCACCTCCTCGTAGTGGAAGCGCATGTGGTTGCAGATGATGTTGAAGCAGGCGCCCGGCCGGTAGTGCTGCACCTGGCTGCGCTCAAAGAAGGAGGGGTAGTAGAAGTCGTTGCGGCCGTTGGGGAAGGCGAATTTCAAGCGATGCTTCTCCCCGAAGCGGAAGAGGATGTTGAGGATGGTGCTGCTGGCTGTCTTGTGCGTCTTCATGAACATGATGTTCAGCTTGGGCAGGCAGCTTCGTCCCGAGGGGCTGCCCGTGCCGTTGGCTGCTGCCGGTGCCTTGCTGGGGGCCGGGTAGGAGGAGCAGGAGGAGGGGACAGGGATCCTGGTGGGAAGAAGAGACAGGACACCATGGTGAGGGCAGCTTGGCCACCACAGCCCAGCCACCACAGCCCAGCCACCACGAGGGCTTGGCCATTTTCCTTCCTGGAGGAGCTGGACCTGGGGACAGGTGCTGGACCTGAGGATGGGTGTTCGCCCCCAGCACCCCCAGGTTCCCCGGCAGAGACCAGCCCAGCTTCGGGCAGAGCCCCCTTTGCACCCAGGCATGTGCCCAGTGGGACCAGGGCACCCACCTGGCAGGAGCCCCTGGGCGAGCAGGGCAGAGCCCACTGCCCCCACGAGCCTCCTGACATCAGGTGCACCTCTGAGCCACCAAACTAAGCTCATTCACCCCCTGGACAACCTCAGCCTCCAAGAATGTGATGCTACAGGGGTCTTCACGGTGGTCAGCCCCCATTGGCATCGGTGCCGCCTGAGCGGGGGAGTCCCCATCCCTCTCCACGGGCACGACTGTGGTGGCCCTGGTGCAGGTGATGTTGAGACATGTGTTGAGATGAGCTCTCCATGGCCATAACTCCACAGACACGAGCTGATAATGTTCTTGCAAGGTCTGGGAGCTCTCAACCCTTGTAGGAGTCGTGGAGCATCCAGCACCTGATCAAAAAGGGAAATAATTCTAGTGCGTGGCCCCACAGATGAACTTGTGGGCCCTCGGGGAGCACCGAGAACAACTTGTGTGTTATCTGAGATGCCTGGAGCAGGGAACAGAGACCACAGTGTCGAGTGACTTTGGACACCATTAATGAAGTTGAAAAGCTGACCCTCGATAACACTTCCAGCAGCGTGGGGGACCACGTGTCACCACGTAGCTTATGAAACACGCACAGGACTTTTATATGCCTAGAGATAAATTTAATGGCAGGAGGGATGGCCTTACTGAGCACCAGCTTTTGCCATGACAGGCAGCAGAGAGCTTTGAACCTACCCATGCCCATCTCTGTGGGTGAGAGTTTACACGTGGCAGAATGCTCTGGTTGCTCTTGAAGGACAAGTCCTTGATAAAGAGCACTCGAATAACTGCCTCAGCTCTGCCCATTGCTCCTAGCTGCTGGGGAACATCTCCCGTGGTGCTTTTCTTTCTCCCAGGGGACATGAAGCCGCAGCGGGCAGGAGCTCTCCTGCACCTCCTTGTCCCCTCCTTGCCCAGGAGCTGAGCACTGGCTGCCACTTTGCAGCAGCCCCCCCCGGGGTGAACATCCCCAGCTCCCAGGGGAGTTGGGATTCGCCTTCCCCTCCCGCCATGGGACAGGGCGCAGTCTCCAACAGGAGGCTGTAGGAAGGGGACATCTCAGTGTGAAGCCACCAGAGCCTGGAAGGCCCCGGGGCCCGTCTCTGCTTGGGGGTGCCTGGTGTGAAACAGGGTGGCCGAGCTGCCGGGGGGGACACAGGGACCCCACACTCACTCTGTCACGCTGACTTGCAGCGGGGGGACGGCGTAAGAATACAGCAGCAGCATGAAGCTGGTCAGGAGGGTCCCCAGGACGAGCCCCTTGCACATGGACCTCCAGTGCTTCCCATGGTGCAGCATTGTGGTCACCTGCAGTGGAGAGGAGAGCTGTTAGCACCAGGGGATGGGGAAGTGGGGACCAGGGGGACCACGTGATTCAAATCACAAGCAAATAAGGCACGGGGGCATCTCATGGGCATGGGAAGTCCCGGGAAGCATCTCACTGAGCTTTTCGGTGCTGGCAGTGCCAGGAGAGAGGCGAGCCAGCGCCAGGCATGTCCCTGCCCACAGGCACAATGGATTCACGGCCAAAGAGCGGCAGTTCTGCCCGCCCTGCGCACCCTTTGCCCACCTCAAGAAAACCCAAAGCGACCCCCTGGCCCAACGCAAGAGCAATCAGAGGCCACGGGGCTGGAAATGAGGGGGCGAAAGGAGCGGTGCCATGGGGCAGCCCAGCCGCAGAGCGGGTATCCTTTGCCAGGCCGCACCAGCAGCTCCCCCGGCACCGAAAGATCACCGATGCGGGCAGGAGCTTTCCGAGGGTGGCTGGGATCCCTTTTCCCAAGAAAATCTTCTGGCTGGATCGGGAGCTCCAGCAGCTTGGGATGTATCAGATGCCACGACATCCGCCCAGCGCAGCCTTGCCTGCGTCTCCTGGCCCCTCCAGCAGCACCAGCTGCAAGGGGGCCTGCGGCTTCCCTCCGGCCACGGCACCCGCACCTTTGGGTGGCTCTGGGTGGAGGCTGGGGGGATGCAAACCTGCCGGGCAAGGGGGTCCGGGGCAGGATGACCCCCCCATGTACAAATGCACATACATACTCAGACATGCCCCCCATATACAAATGCACATACATACTCAGACATGCATGCACAATTGCACACGTGCACGCATGTAGCCAGAGAGCACATGCACATAAACACCCATGCGCATGCATACACATGTGCATGGGCATGTGCACATGGGAACACACACACCCATGTGCACTCGTGCACACACATGCATGCCAGGACACAGACACACATCTGTGCGTGTTCATGCGTGTGCATGCACACACAGGGGCACACACAGGCACACACATCTGTGCATGCACATGCATGCACATGCATGCACGGGGACACGCACACACGTATGCACTCATGAACCCCCCAACAACACAGACACACTCATACATGCACACACAAGCGCACGCGCCCATCTATGCACCCTCATGCACACACAAGGACAGACACATACACCCCCCCCACGCGTCCTCATGCGTGCCCACGTATGCACAAGGACACAGACATACGTGCATGTCTACGCGTGCTCGTGCACGCACACACACACACCCCCATGCACACAGACGCTGCAGGCAGCCCCTCAGCCCCGCAGCCCCCCTGACCCCCCCCTCCCCGCTGCTGCTCTCCCCCCGCCCGACCGATTTGCAGCGGGGCTGTCCTCGGGGGTAGGACAAGGGGACGAGCCACCCGTGACTGCGGCACCCGCTGCCGGGGGGCTGCGAGCAGAGCCCCGCGCGGCGCCCCCCCAGCCTTGCACCCCCATTTAGCGGCTGCGAGAGCAGCATTGCCTCCCTGTGCTCCCACTCGCTCCAGCTGCCCCGGCACCGTTCTGGCTCCCGGGCATCCTTCGCCCAACACCTTCAGCCAAGGCTGGCCGTGCTCTTGGCTGCCTGCTGAATAACACCCCCTACAAATAAACCACCAGCCCCCCGTGCCTGCCGTGGCATCGCCCCCTTAGAGCCTCGTAGCTCCCGCAGATAATTCCAAAAGACAAAATCCCAGCTGGGAGAGCTGTGGTTTACACCCAGATGCATTTTCAGACCCCACGTAGCAAAGACCCCCCTGCAATTTCTAAGCTAAACCCCAAGCAGAAAGGTTACCCGGCCGGCGCGAAGGGTGCCCAGGGCATGGTGAGCTCGCCTCGCTGCTTCTGCCTGCCTCCCCCTCTCTTCGCCCCCC